TAATCGCTTTGCTGTCTGCATACTTATTATACATTTGAGTGACGTGTCGTACTTTTCTGTCGTTGCAGTCAGTATTTTTGATTTAGATTTGCTGTAGGGATTTTTTTAACACTTTTTCTTAATTTACCGCATTGCTTTTAGTACCTCCCAATAACGCTCCGAGATGTCACAATACGCTTTGTTGCTGTATTACAGACTACCCTTAGACGCCTTAATGCAACTAAACCAAACTAAGTCTTTTTTTAAGACCTCAAGGTGGTTTTTCTTAAATGTGATCAGGGGCGAAAATATTTCCATGGACACTCACATACACTTCTCCGTTTTGAAACCAATCTGACATAACTTGGCGAATCCGAATAAACGTTCGTCAAAACTGAAGGTTTTGCACTATAAAAAACATATACTAAGCGTAGTTTGACAAGTATAAAGTTGCATTCATCTTTCGGAAATAATGGCAGGGGCATGAACTTCGATCGACCCAATGCTTCCGAAAAATTTCCTGCCAATTTGGCATATGGACAATATTATATTGAGGAAAACGTTTTCAGACAAGCCAAAGTGACATTATATCATTGCAGTAGTTTATTAGGAAGCGTAGAATGCGAGGTTCTGGTCATCTTTCACTGTCTTTGTCTGAGAGAAGTCTTCTAAAGACGCCCGTGAGTGCTGTGGCGAACTAGCCAATTTCCAATTTGGCTTGAACTTGTGTATCACGGTTGGTTCGACGTGTTGGCAACTGCTTAGTTGCGAAGAGACCACGGTAACGGGTACATGATGGACCAATACCGCGTCACTGTAGGTCTGTCAGATTTGTACCTGACTGCACGTGTTGGCAGGTATAGGAGCTTAGTGATTGGGCGTGAAGTGGCCAAGTGGGGCAAGCGTGCTGCGAGTTGGCGTTGTCTTCCGTCAAGCCTGCAACCGTGGCTGTCGTCAAAAATGACGACGCTTCTCAGCTTGACTGTTTGCTAAGTGGTCTGCACCGACACTGCCGATTCGCAGTTGACATTTGTCTGCATCCATTGTAGTAAACGGTGTGTACCGAGACCAGTGGGAGCTGGTTCGGCACTGTTTCGCATGGAATCGCGCATGCATGCTGCACCTGCCCAAACCACCACCCGGGTGTCTATGCTTTTGATCATGCGTGCAGCTGTTTCGTCGGTATTTACGCATTGTAAAGGCATTTTTTTCGAAATGGACCAATTCACGACTAATTGGCATGTTGAGGCAGTCGAACATTTTGCAATGCTTATTTAGCACTATGATTGTCGCGTCCGACTATGCGGGAGAACGACGAAATCGCCTGATCAAACGAAATGGCTCCACTGCTTTCGAAGGTTGCTTAACATCGTTTCTTTGCTTGATGGAAGGCGATAATGATGCAAATGGCTTGCAGGTGATGGCACTAATTTGAATTGGAAATTGTGAATCGAGCCCCAATGGTTTTATGTGTTCTTGGAAGGAGTTGTGAGCATTTACGTGAGTGTGTTCTTCTCTTTATGAATTGGACGTGGCAGCCAGACACAGGAGTTATTAAGAGGTATTTTTGGGTATGGGTGGACATCTGCATGTCATTTTTCAGGTGATGTTGCATTTCAACGAGAGAGGGAATCGTGGTTAGCGGGTAACTCGATATCCGTCAATTCATTGAAAGGTATGGAGACGATGCAAGCAATCTGCATCTCATTTGCATGTAATCAGAATTGCTCACAGGGCAGTGTGCTCGTTTGTGGTCGAAATAGGACCTGTGGTGCCAAGTGGTTGCGATCTTGAATGTTGACGTGGATGGTGGAAGCCTGACAAACAGTGGAATTGATCACTATATAAGTCACCTGCGAATTATGAAGCTAGTTCGCCATCCACTTTGTCCACTTGTACGCGCCTACGAGTTACGAGTAGGCGTCTGTTTGCACACACCGACGCATCGTGTCAAGCATTCTGGCAGACGGTTGTTCCCTGCCTGCTGTCGGCCTCATTCGGTCCACCTTATTCAACATTCGACGACGTACTATGCTCCAACCGGTAAAAATGAGCAGATGATGTGGGCGACAGCTGTTCAAGCCTTGTGTACACTTGTGCACACTTCATGGAATAAACCATTCATATGGTATTTTGGTTAAAATGCTCTTCCGCCGTGAATGCAGGAAACGGCAAGGCGTCGCGTTAATAGTATTGAAGGATAACAGGCGACATGTGCACGCATCTACTTCCGTTAGATTTGAAGTGTTTACGACAAAACAGAAGATGGAAACATGGAGGCCCGTGCTTCAAATGTGTGTGAATGGGCATGAATTGTGTTGTGTGCACTGACTAGTCCAAGTGTGTTCCACTGAAATGAAGGCAATTAAGGTTTAACAGATGACACCATGTAGATAGTCATAAGATCTTTCACCTTGTTCTTTTGCTAACACATGCGAATCCAGCATTTTGCCCATCTCCATTGATAGCCCCACACTTTGTTTGATTGTAATTTAAGTGTAGTGCACAGACTTTGGTTTAAATGGTTTTCGTTTGCAGAATATTAATAGGTTTGCAGGATGTGTGTTATGGCTAATGAATAACCTGAACATAAGCCAGTTCAGACGGCACCTAACCAACTCTTGAGAAACATTACAACCAGAGGGCAAATTGACGGACGTGGCCGCGTACGGGTCATCCGCCTGAACTATGACGCTGGCAGCGTTTCTTTGTGCGTGAGAGCTTCTACTGTCAGTTTGCTCGTGGCGATTTTCAGAAGACCATACTCAATTCGGGAACCGTAACGATTGCTTTTAAACTCACAGGACGATGAGCTGTAGGTCATTATTAGACCGTGGACCATCGTTGGATATACCCTGTCACACTGGATGTGCAGTGGACTGTGTGTTTAGCAGAATCGCAGTAACTGCAGTCACGTTCCCTCTTGTTGGTGATCGATTGGCACTCTGGAGAGATCTGGGTCATTTTAGTTGTATTGATTATCGATTGAGAAACAGCTGTCGGTAAAGCGACAAAATTGTTAACTGGAGTTTAGCAACTGAGTGTGCTGTAAACTGCATTCTCTGGTAATTCTCTAATGCAGCACTTGTGATGGAAATCCCGACACGTTTGGCATGATTGAAGCAATATCGCTTGGTGTCAATGGGGTTAAGTGTGTGTGTGTGTTAGCCGCGTCAGACTGACTGGATTCTGCATTTTAGGATAATGGTGACCCAATTTCGGTGATTTGAATAACAGGGACATCGTTGTAAGTCTAAGGGATATTAATACTGTTTTTTTGTCGGGGTGAGTTTAAAGCGACCCCAAAGGAAATGTAACGACATTAGCACGAAGAAATTGTCTAAATTGCCTGAAAAGCGTCAGAATTTTCATCAGAAATGCTACATTAAAATTCGATGGCCTCTCATAACGAGTTTGGCTCTGAAACCATCAAGAGTACAATTAATCGATATCTGCGTTAGCATGGTATCGGCCTTCTCGCAATAGCACTCCACCTGAACACGTGTGAGTCAGCGCCCCACCAAAACTAGGACACGACAAGATTTCGTGCGGAGAATTGCTACTGTGTCAGCCAAATTCCGAGTGCACATTCACAAGCACCCGCTTGTAGGTGGCATGGGCTTCCTAGAATGGACCAGTAGGGAGAAGGTGGGAAATGTGAATACGGAAGCTGGTGTGGACAAATGTGAATGATGATGAAAGCAAGTAAATAGGGAATATCTTGAGTGATGATGTCTTGGGCCTGCTTCACACCCAACCACAACAACAACAACAGCAACAACCGCGAGGACTTTATTGACCAATCGCAAGCCAGGACCAGGCGTCACATGCCGTTGATCGGATTCCACCATGGTGGCTGCACCGCTCAGTATATATTGCTTTTTTTCCACACGCGTCTCTGGTTGGCTGCAGATCTTCATTGTAGACCATTAAAACGCACTCTGACGAAAGACTGGCTGAGGTCGGCGTGATCCCCTGTGTCTAAACCCTTGTTCTTCGCTGCACTCCACGAAGACATCCAACATCGGTTTCACGTCATGAGTTTCCCAGTCATGTAGACGACTAAGTGAGTTTCAAATTGGGTGAGCTGGAAGAACATGTGCTTGGTGTGGTTTTGACGAGTGCGAATCGGCATTCACTTAACCCAACTCAATGCACAGCTCTGAATTTTATATTCAGCTTTGAAGAATCTGCCATTACGTGCTTGGACGTCTCCGTATTTGACGTCAAGGCCTTGGTTAAGCGTGTCTGACCTGGTATCAGGGACATTTCTGTGATGCATGCAGCTTGATTGAAGCCGTCTGTTGACTGGCATCCCGGATGAGTTCATCTTCCGCTGTAATAGAAACGCACTGGTAGGTGCAAATCAAGAAGCAAGCAATAGATTCAAATGTAAATGTGTTAACAGTGGACATATTTATGCTCTCAGTTGCGTGCCCTGCTAGTGACTCAAAACAATTTTCGATACGAAGCACTTGGTTGAAACACTACTCGATGGGTGCCAAGACTGGAAATGAACTTAAAGTACTTTGCTTCAAGGTTTGTGTCCAGCACTGTTTCTAAGGATAATTCCGCTTTTGAGTTACCTAATTAAGTGGGAATTTACTAATGCGTGAGATTTCAAATGGACATCCATAATAAGGCTGCAGAATGAGGCTAATATTATCCTAATCTATGCCTAGACAGGCCAAATAAGTTTGACTTATAATGATATTCACCTTGCTCACTAATAAAACTCTCAATCTTTTATGTTTAGAAGTCAACAACATGACATATTTACATCTGCTGAATTGGTAAACCTGCTTGTAATGTAGGTTTCCACGGAACACTTGCTCTCAATTTCCATATGGTTGCAAACATTCGGCAACATAAACTGCGTTTATAATAGTCTTCGCAAAATTAATGTCAAAATAATTTTTAATGTATCGTTGTTTGCAAGAATCTGAAGGTTAAATCAGAAATAAGTACGCGCTATAAAACCGGGAAAGCAAATGTCTGTGTAGTGCGTCAAATTCATCGTCATGAAACTGGTCTTGGCCTACTGGGACATCAGAGGGGTATGCGTTATTTTTCTAACGCCATAGTATAATATTAATGGGAATTGGTTAAGATGAAATTTCTTTCTGTGAAAACAGTCGTGATTTCCTTGTTGAATATCTTGTCTATCTATAAAGGGCTTACTTCCTTAAACATTTTTCCTTCTACAAATTAAACTTGGTATTTTTGAGGTTTGGAAGCACATAGTATTTTTGTGATAGGCTTAGTGCTATCATTAGTGACGTTCAATGCTATTCCTTTGTGAATTGAAAGTGATTTATTATAAACGGAGACTTAATAGATATAATACATTTGTCAAACAAACTACCCTACATGATGTTATATTAGCATTATTTAAACCAATATTGCTATTTGGTGTTCATTGCAGCTTTGCGAGTCAATTCGTCTCTTCCTCCGTTATCTTGGGGAGGATTTTGAAGACAAACGATACAAGTGCGGTCCTGGTAACGCGTTCATTCAGCATTTATTCTCATTTGTTCAGCCCCAACGTTTGATCTCAGTGAATGGTTGTCAGTCAAGTATACGTTAGGATTTGATTTCCCAAATGTAGTGTTGTGATTTTCACAAGCGTTGTTTGTGCAGCTACCGTATTTGATAGATGGGGATTTTAAATTGACCCTATCCACTGCAATCCTTGAATACATTGCTGAAAAACACGGAATGGGTAAGTATTTTGGTATTGGTGGTTCCAGTTAAGTTATCGCAGAAGTATTCGTTGGCGTCTGATAAGCACAAAATTCATTGTTAGTGTGTTTGATGGTTGGTAGGGATCGTGAATTTGTGTGTTCGAGTGATTCCAAGGTGTTATCATGGTTGCAGTAAAGATCTTTTGGTGAGTAAGTATGGAGTACAAATGTAGTTGCCATTAGTGGCCTTGGGACCGAATAATGTAATGGGAGTGTTAAATTGACGCAATCGAGCGCAATCCTCGAGTACATTGCTGACAAACACGGAATGGGTAAGTGTTTTGGTATTGGTGTTTCCAGTTAAGTTTGATTTTAACTTAAAATGGGGCCGTGAAGTTGTGTGTTGATGTGATTCCATGGTGTCATCATGGTTGTAGTAAAGATTTTGTGTTGAGTAAGTATGGAGTACAAATGTAGTTTGCTGCCTAGTGGCCTTGGGACTTTGAATAATGTGACGCCGCCGGATTAGGTTGCAAGTAGGTTGATGGAAAACGTGGAGCATCGAATACTTGTAGTGCTGAAAAATGCGATTGGAAGCAGACGCTAATGTTGCCGTGAACGCAAGGGCAAATCATTGACTGATTGAGGTGGGGTCGTAAATAGATGTGCAACAGAGGTTATCATCAGTGAAATGACAGATGCCAACGAGTAGATCTTGACAGAGGGTTTAATTTAGAAGAAAAAAACTGCGTTTGCTTTGTAGTTCCGGCTTGTCCAAAGATGCGTGCAGTATTGCATATGATCCTTGAAATGACCAAAGATCTCCGCTGCTATTTCGCTATGATGTGTTATAGTTCTGATTTCGTAAGTGCTTTTGTTAATAACTAGTTCTGACGTTGTTTTACGCCTTGGCTCTTGATTATTTGATATTTTGTATATTGTTTATTTTTAATTTTTTTGTTGTAATTGTTTGCAAAAATCAAAGAAAACTTAGGTCTAAAGTGACTTTAAGTGGATTTTGCTTTACAGGAGAAGTAATTATATCAAGTGTGTCTGTTTTTTATTTTTTTTGTTTAAATTGTAAATTTTACTAAAAAGTAATTATTTATAAAAATCAAAGAAAGGTAAGGTCCTAGGCTTTGTTGTCTTCTTTGTTAAGAACGTTGATGGCTTTCTAAAGTGACTTTAAGCAGATTTTGCCTTACAGGAGAAGTTGAAGCCAGAGTTTCTGGAGAAACTGCCTGAGAAATTGGGACACTTTGAGAAGTACTTGGGAGAAAAACAGTGGTTGACTGGCGACAAGGTAAGTCATTGGGGCTTGACTTAGTTGAGGGGTATTAAAGCATTTAGTGGGATCGTGTGTGTTTTGCTGAAGCACACCTCGTGCTGAGGCGTGAGGTGCAGAGTTGGGGATGGATTTACTAGCTTTCCTCCGATAGAGGAGACTGTGGTGTTGTATGAATAGCCAAGCTCTGGTTGGTTTTTTTGTTAAGACATCGTTGTGGAAGTAGTGGTGGTGTGTAATTTGGGAAGTGGCAATGAGTGCATTTGCTGAATGATTGACCGATTCGCAAGTTTGTAGTAATTGCAGTTGAAATTCAGACATTAATTTTATAAAGTTTTAATCAACTGATAAGAAGGTAGCTTTGATTTTAGGTTGAAGCGAGATCTTGTAATTTAGGAAGTTAAGGTGATTGAGAATTTAAATCTCGAGCCGTTGATTTAATTTTCCGAGTCGCAAGTTCATTGTTTGATCTTTTGCAGATTAACTATCCAGATTTCTACCTCTGTGAATTATTGAACCAACTGGTTAAGTTTGAACACTCGTGCCTCGACAAACACCCGAAGCTGAAGGCCTACCTTTGCCGCTTTGAGGTAGATGCTTGAGATTGTATTTGCGCAGTGGTGGGACGTAAGCAGTTATTTCGACGGTGGCTGATATTGTGCAGATGGTTTAATGGGATAGTAGAGGAATGCTACTAAACTTGTGTAGGTGGTCTTAAGTTTAACGCTGACCAAATTTGTCAGGCTAAATACACAATGCTCGAATGTAATCATAGGCTTCTTCGTTGAGAGCAGTGTAGCGTGAATGGCACTAGATGCACTAAGTGAGCCCAACCCGTTGACTAGTCAGTCAAGTGGTTAATTTGGTGGTACACATCTGCTGGACATGGCTTACCAGTTTGGATTTGAGGTGGCATGAGTTGAATATTCCATGTCGGTATGGGGGTGCACTGTGTGCTGGAACATTTTGTCTGGCATTGGCTGAGGGCGTTTTTGTGCCCGCACTGCTAGTGGTGGCCATTTTCACTTCAACGGAACGGTTTTTTGACCAGTCAGATAGACGGGTCGTATTGATGTGTGTTACTGCTTTAAAATACTTCCACATCAAACCCACCTTTCATGGTTATTCTTGGTTAAACATGATTAATGTGTTGGTCTTACAATAATTTGTTCTGCAGAATTTGCCGAAGCTCAAGGACTACATGGCCTCGGATGAGTTCAAGTCGCGTCCGTGCATGTTTTTCACGGCCAAGTGGGTGGGAGACTGCTGAATTGTTGCGATCAAGTCTTGGTGCAATTAGGATTTAGTAATCAAATAAATTTGTTCAACTCATACTTTACGTATTCTTTTGTGTGACGGAATTGCGTTGTGTGAAATGGTGGTAAAGGCTTTGGGTAAATTTGGCGTACTTGGGGACACAAGCGTTGGAATGCACATTTGCGGCTACTTGGGAGGTGAGGTTGAAGTTGCAGTCGTAGAGGGAATTTCCAGGTGTGTCAAGTTGTAGACTCTGGAGCCTACGTCACACGCGCGTAGCCTGCGAACCCAGCAGCGGGTAGTTCGCATTGGCATTTGTTGGAGTGTGTTTTAGACATGCAGTGAGAAACAGTGATGGAAGTAGGGTGGGAGATGAAGGCGAATAGGTATGCATATTTTTGCATCTTCATTAATAATGGTCGTCTCTGTTATTGAGCGCAAAATGAATGTGACTAGAATTTGCACAAAGTTGTACTTGATGCGTGAGTGTGTTTGGGTGACTTGGGTGATGTTCAGCAGTAGGAAACTGTGATTGCCTCTGATGTGGGATTTTGAGGAAACAGTTGCATATGGATGTTGTGGGAGGTGGGTTCCGACGAGTAGTTTCACACACAGAAGCCGAGGGAACTGAGAGTGTGGTTGACTTGGTTGGCTTGCAGGTGCTAGCATCTCACTCTGCATCGTTCAATCGTTTAAGTGTTTGACTGGCAAGCTCTATCGTGCCTTTTGCCACCTAATGGGTGGTTTGGTAGTCGTCATGGCTATATTGCTAGTAACTTACTGCTATAAGTGCTAGTATTCTAATAGAAACTGCGTTGAATGTCGACACCGATGCAGAACATCTGCGCTGAACAGGCTTCTACAGCTTGGCGCTCAAGCTTAACAGGCGGAGAGTTAAAAGTATGTGAGATATGACAAACAATTATCTTCTTAAAACAGGAACCGAACATATGAGCAAGTGTTGTAAGATTCGTGAAAAGGCGGGCGGAAAGTGGATTGAGCATGGTGATGTACCGAATTCTTAAATTTCCAATTTGGCATAAATGTAGGTATGCAGACTCGCGTTGGTGTTCTACCTAGTGAATCACCATTGACCTGCGTGTTGGAGTTTGCTCAGTTGATAACAGAGAGGAGAACGGATTCATCATGGAATAAAACCACGTCGGATTGATCACCGACCATGCCAGTTCACTGTGGATCTGTGCAGCTGTACTTAACAGCACGTGTTGACTGGTTCACCAGCGTTGTGATTGGGTGTGAAGTGGCCAAGGAGGGAAAGCGTGTTGTAAGTTGGTGTCGCCCTCCGCCATGCCTGCAACCGAGGCTGTCGTCAAAACTGACTACGCTCCACGGCTCTACTGTTTGCTAGACGGAGGTAGTGCACTGGACGTTGGCATTAATTTATCTGCTGCACCGACACTGCTGAGTCGCAGTTGACAACTGTCTGAGTTTACTGTGAGGGATGATGGTTCGGTACTGTTTACCGTTATGCACCGCATACGTGCTGCACCTGTCCAGACCAACGCAGTGTGTATGCCTTTGATCAACAATGTTTTTTAATAACAGTTTTAAATTTTAATCACATTACTCCTAAATGAACCAATTCTACGATTAAAAGGCATGTTGAGTCAGTCAAAGAATGTGCGTAGGCAATTTGTCACCGTGACTGCTTCACTTGATTCCCAGAGCATTAAAGAGAACGACTGAATCGTCCCAACGAAAGACCATCGCATCTCTGCCGCCTTCACTCACCAACTAGCATGATTTCATCGATTGATGTAGGGCAATAATGATGTAAATGATTTCATATTGATAAAACTAATTTGAACTGGAAATTGTAATTGTTGCTCGAAAGAATTTGATGTCGTTCGAGTGAGTTATTCTTATTCGCCATCAGGTGGTGTTTTGCACGAATTGATGTTCAAGGCAGACACGAGAGCGTTGATAGACGCATTCGGTGTCGTTGAATCGCGGCATGTGATGTGCCGTTTGGATGGAAGGAGCAGTCATGATTACCTGGTGATTTTGGTAGCCTGACAGTTGTCAATGCAAAAATGGCATGAAGGATAGCACGTGCAATCTGTATTTCATTTACACGAAAATCAAATTGCTCATAGGTCACTGTGTTCGGTTTTTTGGTGGTTACAAATTATGGACATTTTGTGGATAGCACCTTTGGTGTTGTTTCGCCTTATGTCGTGGTTGGAAAAGAAAATTGCAACTCTGCAGAATGCAAAAATGTCTGCATCGTTTGTGCACTCCGTCGCTTGTTCGGTTGTGTAATTTGCGAATAAAAGTCGTTCAACTATGCTGTTCACGAGGTAAACAAACCTCATGAAGATGGTGGTGGTGGAGAAGGTGGTTACTCGTTTTCCCTAATTCCGGCACCTTGTAATCCCAATCTGAGTCCACCTGGTGTAATGCACTTTGTCCCAGACCAACACGCTTGGAAAGGACATGTTGCATTTGATGGATTTAGTCGCTCTCAACACAAAACGTCCCGCAGCAAAGTCTGCCCAGCATGCTTGACTCAAGCAAACAGTTAATACATGTCGTCGGGAATTCTTTCGATTCATGATGCTCTTGAATTACCAGAAGACTAAACAAATTTCGCCAAGTGGACAAGAGAGTAGTATAGAAAATGACAAAGATATCAATGTAAAACACCACAAACGTTGAATGAGCATAAGAAACCACCATTACTTAGGAGTAAAGTTGGCACACTGGAATCGAAACGCGTCACGTCGGATGACAAATTTGAGTCACATTAATTCTAGACGCTGAGCCTT